TCAGTAACCTGGGCTGCCTCCCGTGGGAATCCCATCAAAGGAGCAGAGCTTCCCCATCCACCTCTGACAGCCTTCCCCCTCATCCTCGCCTAGCCTGGATGTACAGGCAACATCCAGACCTCCCCTACTTAACCACTCCAAGTCGTACTGACCTCCTCCCTTGGAGGAGCAGTCCCTGAAGGCCAGCCCCACATAACCAGCCCAAACCAGGTCAACTTCCTCAACCCTGTTTCAGATTAGCTCAGCCACCTCCCCAGGGATCCAGGGCTCTCATTTGCTCCATTATTAAATCATCAGGACCTGGTGACTCCCAGCAGGCAGCTTCTAGAAAGGTTTTAGGGACTGTCGGGCTCTTTGCCTGGTACAGAACTGGGCCATTGCCTGGGCTTCCTGAAGCTGGGATGAGCCGCAGTCAGTGTCACACCACAGGGCTGGAGTGCTAAGACCCCTTTGGAATATAATTCCACTGCAGACAGTAGGCATGTAACATGCATTTAGAAGCTGCTTTTGCTCAAAAGCAGACTCCCCACTCATGCCCATAAGGCAGGGTTCAAAAGCCTGGCATCTCTGCCTCTATTTGTCTTTGACCTTTGCTTTGGGTCAGATTCCTGTTTGACTCCATTCAGATGAGTTAATCATTCAAGGAGTGTGTCTTCCTCCATGACCCCATCAGGGCTGAGGGGACAGAGATAAATCATAGCCCTAACCCTGCCATCACCTTCGATTCTAAGAACAGCCAAGTCTCCTGGGACAGATCACTCTCATAGCAGGGCAGTTATCCATGATGGCAGGCCTGTACCCTAGAGCAGGAGAAATCATCTCCTGAGAGGTGGCCAGCTGTCCCTTTAAGCTACAAGGGCTTTTTCATGCCGCCTAGTAGGACCTGCACTTAGACAAGTCCAACTAGACCATGCATTGGGCAGGACTGAAGAATTATGCATGCCTCTTGTCTCTTGCCCCAGTACTTCCTCCATTTAAACCTAAAGTTCATTCTGGTCACTCATGGGTGGAGGCAAGGTCCCAGGAGCCCCTTGTGGTTGAAATCATCCCTGCTTCTCACTACTGTTCTCTTTGGTTTTATTTGCGACATGTGGTTGAGCCCAGCCTTTGGGGGCTGCTCAACTTGAGGCTTTGATCCTAAGACTCTGACCATAGTTATAGACCCTCTTGTACGAGTTGCATTGGACACAAGAGGAAACTACAGCAGAAGGAAGCCACATGCTCTTCTGAGAACCTCAATCCCAGCCTGCCCAGCTCTAGCCTGCATACTCCTTACTGTTCTTCCTCATCTGGAATGAACCAGGACTATCCTAGAGTTTAGGACTCCAAGAATCTTCCGACTGTGCCTGTTTCGGGATCAGGGTCCAGAAGCCCTCAGCTTGCACCCCGACTCTGTCACTTCTCTGGAAAACCAGGGACAGTTCTTTCCCTAAGGCCACAGTCCAGTCATGGGGGTCAGAAGGGCAGCCATGTTTAGCACATGGAGGATGGCGGACTATACCAAGCTGGCTTGAGTCATGCCTGCCATATACAAAGGTTTACACTCGGCAAACTCCAAAATTCTCGACTGGATGGTGCCACAAGATGGAAAGAGATTAGGTTAGGTCTGAGTCAGGCCCTTAGGGAGGAAGCTGCCGGTGGGCGATGGGAAAACGCTCCCCATCCTGCCAGACTGCTCTCTGTTGCCTTCTTTGCATTCTTTGACACTGCAGGCTGCTATATGAAAAACCGTCCCTTCGCAAGGCACGGAGGACTGGTCACACTGTCTGCATCAAGCTGCCAAAATGTAGGGTGAGCAAGAAAAGTCCTTAAGCCGGAAGCAGACAGCCGCCTCACTTCTGCTCTCACGCTATTGGCTGGAACATAGTCACCTGATCACAGCTGCTGCAGAGGTGCCTGGGGAGTGTAGTTCTGCCCAGAAAAAAAAAAAAGCAGCATAAAAACAGCTGGCCCATGGCTGGAGAGTTAATACCACACCTGTTCAGGTAGAATGACGTCATCGAAATCCAGTGGGGTCACAGCAGAGCCCACCACAGAGGCTACGTTCCTGTTCCTGTCCCTCTTCATGCCTGTGGTGCTAAAGCACAGCAGGGTCGCACGGTGGTGAGTGAGATCACAGCCACAGCGTTCCCTGAGAAGGAGGCAGAAGGCTCAAGATGTCCCTCACGCAGCTGTGTCACCTAGAAGAACAATAGGGAAGGGAGAGGATCCTGGACACCCACCTGCCTCACCTTCTGCTTCTCTCTCTGGGACCCACCCTGCTGATCGACAGCTCCCACTGAGTCACGTTAACAAGTTGTGGGGATGTTGGCTCAACTGAGCCCTCCTTCCTGGGTTATTTGAACTCAACAAGAAGCTGATGATAGAAGATCACACAGATCACCAGATGTCAGATCTCTCCCATCGCACAGATGTGCATGAGGACATTCAGAGATGGAAAGGGGAGTGGAGAAACCCTGGTAATTACGGTCGCACACAGTCTACCATGACTAGACAGCTCCAGTGAGTTTTGCCCAAAATGGAGGACTCCCTTTACCAGCAGGTAACCACCTCTACATGTTACCACCTCTACATGTTACCCCGGAAGACTAAACACCAGTCCCACAGTTTGGAATGACTGTGTACATGGAGAATGGTACAGGAGATCTGACTCTGCAGACAGTAAAGATCTCAGGGAAAAATATAAAGCATATATGTATATAACCAATGTTAGACCAAAGCTACTCAAAGAAATGACGTGGCAGTTACAGTTCTGGCCCCCATGAAAAGACACTATGGCCAAGGCAGTTTTTAAAAGAAAGCATTTAATATGAGATTTGCTTACAGCTTCATCAGGTTAGTCAGTCAGTAATCATCATGGCGGTGAGTATAGCTGCAGGCAGGCAGGGCTGAGAGTTTACATCTTGATCTGAAGGTAGGAGGCAGAGAGTGAGACTAGGCCTGATGTTGGCTTTTGAAACCTCAAAGACCACCCCAGTGGCATACCTCCTCCAGTAAGGCCACACCTCCTCCAGCAAGGCCACACCTCCTCCAGCAAAGCCACACCTCCTCCAGTGAGGTCACACCTCCCCCAGCAAAACCACACCTCCTCCAATAAAGCCACACCTCCTCAGCAAGGCCACACCTCCTCCATCAAGGCCATGTCTCCTAGTCTTTCCTCAACAGTCCACCAACTGGGAACCAAATATTCAAATACAAGCCTATGAGAGTCATTCTCATTCATACCACCATAGAGGCTAGGTGGATTTTCTCTTTTTCTTTTCTATTCCTTTTTTTTTTTAATGTTTCAGGTTTTTTGAATTTCACATCATGCACCCCAATCCCATTCATATCTCCCTCCCCTTGGACCCATCTTCCACCCTTGCAACCTCTCCCACAACAGAGAAAGAAAGTCTCATTGTGGACGCTGTAGTGTGTCAGTGTGTCCCATGTACACCCTTCTGTCCACACGTCTTTGCTTGCACATGCTCATTGTGATGATTCCTTGGTCTGGTTCGAGGCCTCTGGCTTCTGCTACACTATCAGTACTGGATCCTCACTGGGACTCCTCTCAGATTTCCTGTTGTTGTCCTGTGTCATGGAGATCCTGCAGTTTTGGATCTGTAGGACCGGCCCCTTCATGTATTCTAGCAGTTCACGAATGGAGTAGATGTTGGGGTGGAACAACTTAAAGCCCTGGGTCTGGGCCTGAGAAGTGTCTGAGCAGGGCTCACTCTCCCAGGAGCTGCAGATGGTGAAGGACATCGCCAGTTCTCCCACTCTCATGACCCCAGGGCCAGCTCTCCTGTCTGCCATTGATGGTGAGGGACAAGGAAGAGAAGAGCACCTCCCCCTCATCTACGCCATGGCCCAGCAGACAAGAGACAGGGCTAGCTCTCCATGCTCACACTCTAGGGGCAAGTGCATCTGTAACCCCCACATCCAAAGCTAGCTCTACTGTGCTGCCCAGGCAAGGTGCAGGGCCCAGTCTGTTCCAGAGCACTGCACAGGTGATGGGCAGGGACAGCTCTCCTGTTCTCATGACTCCATGGCTGATGCTCCTGCCTGCCACCAGTGGTGAGGGCAAAGCAGAGAGGAGAGGATATCTCCCTTCCTGTGTCACGTCACTGCACAGCAGACAAGGGGCAGGGCCAGCTCTCCCATACTTATGCCTTCAGGGCTGGCTCACCCACAACCTCCACATCCAGGGCCAGCTCTACTGTGCTGCTCAGGTGGGGTGCTGGGCCTGCTCTCCCAAGTACTGCAACTGGTGAGGGGCAGGGTTAGCACTCCTGCTCTCATGACCTCAGGGCCAGCTCTCCCACAATGCCCAGGTGAGGGGTGGGGCAAGCCCTCAGACATCAATTTGTCCCTGGGTAGCAGCCCAGACCAGAAACATCTGCCTGGCTTTTGGTGGTAACAGACCCCTACTACTGCAGGACCACAGACCCAGACATAGCTTCTGGTGGCAGCCCAGGCCAGGTCCTATGTGGCATCACCGGCTACTGACATCAGGCTATTCCTTACTACCCTCGACTCTCCAGCTCTGCCTCTCTTCATTGTGCCCATGTCCTTCTGTTTCTCTCTCTCTTCCATTTCTCCACCACTCACTTGCTCGTCTTAGTGGCACCTTGAGTCTCTGAGTGCCTGGGTGGCAAGCAGGGACTCTTAGGAGTGGTCTCAGGGGTGCTATGGCCCACTTGTGCATTATGGCCCTGGACATCAGGCATGGTCTCCCCCAACCGTGAGTCTACACTGTGCCAGACTGATGGTCATGCCAGGCTAGCTCCCTGTCTGAGGGTTTCCATGGCTCCAGTCTGGTGATCGACTCAGGCTTGTTCCTTTCCTGGCCTGCCTAAGTGGCCTCTTGCAAGGGTCATCTGTCTTGGGCTCACTCCCACTCAGGGCCTGTGGTCCCAGGCAGGGTTCTTCTAGTTTCCTGATTGCCCCTCGTCCTGGGAGCCCGTCTGGGCCTGCCTGGCACCAGACTGGTGGTCATTTCAGGCTTGCTTCTTTCAGGGAATGTTAGGCTACTGTTATTCAGATGTTCGCAGGTCTGAACACTGAGCTTAGACATGGCTCTCTCCTCTCTGCCACCTGCTGACACACATGTGACGCGGCAGCCACACCTGCAGTGTCTCTAGGGCCAGGCTCCTTTCCTTGCTATCTGTTTGCTTTCTCTTTAACGATACCAGCATTTTTCTTTTCTAAGAAGAAAATATCCTTATGATGAGCTCGGTTCAGTGTGTTGTTCACAGGACGCAGGTGTTAGCCAGGAACACGCCATTTTGAAAATCTCCATTTTGATTTTCATTTGTGACAATTCTGCAATAATTTACTTTCCAGAACTACAGAAACACCTTGTCTTCCCTGTCCTGCCCACCACAAGAATGGCAGATCAGGAAGAGTCCTCATGGACCATCTGACATTCTGTAACTGAGTGCTCACTGGTCATCCCCAAAATCAGAAAACAGTGAGAAAAAAAAAAAGAAGAAAAACCCTCCAATCTACTCCCCCACCTCCCTCCTCTGAACTCTCCCAGAAGGGACTCCTACATTACCGAGTGGACTTGATTGTTCCTCAGAGTGCCCAATTACTGCTGTCTGCCTGTTGGCTAATGGCATTAATCTCCTCTAATTGATGTCTTGTAAATAGAAAGAAAGAAAGAAAGAAAGAAAGAAAGAAAGAAAGAAAGAAAGAAAGAAATGAAGGAAGAAAGAAAGAAAGAAAGAAAGAAAGAAAGAAAGAAAGAAAGAAAGAAACCTATCACAATGCCCCCCTCAAACTCCAAGCCCAAAAACCTTCACGGAGGTCTGACAAATATGAACCTTTTGGCAAGCCCTTTATGTATGCTTCCATGTGACTCCTTCATGACTCATTGCTAGAAATGAGACCCAGGATCCTACCCAAGACATGTGTCCAGCACAACTTCCAGAAAGCAAAAGTTCATTTAAAACACAAGCATTCTCATGTTCAACCCCAGCATTCGCCTGCAGTGTAGTCAATCTGTATGTTGACAATGCCGCCATGAGGAATCACTGCCCTGTAGCTGGTCTGCTAACAGGTGAGGACAAGGTACACAGGGAGAAGACAATACAGTGACCCCAGTGACCCAACTTCCTTTCTCCATGTGCTCTCAGGCCTGAGACCCAGGCACATCCTCCTTCCCTACCCCAACTGGTGCTGCTCCCCTAGATCTCACCAGGGCAGGAGCCAACAGCTCTAAGATGCAGCCTGTCCTGACACGCAGTGAGAGCCCAGCCTGTCCTGCCACTCAGTGAGAGCTCAGCCGGCACCCTGCCCGGTCTCCCTGTGGGCTCACTTTGACAACCAGAGCATAGTACACTTCAGACATGAGCTCAAGCCTGAAGAACAAGAAGGTGAATTGCAGGAGAGGTTCCAGGCAAGGATAAAGAAGGGGCAGTTGAGCTCAGGAGGCAGAACGAGAGCTGTCCTGAACGGCTGGAGGAAGAGGGGAGAAGGAAGAAGAGGAAGGTGAGGTCAGAGGTGACAGGAAGGGTCAGGGAAAGAGAAAAAGCTCTCAGGTAACAGACCTGACAGGGATTCTTGGCTCTCTCATTTTGGCTATCAGACTATTGAAACAATGCCCCCCAACATTAGAATACCCTCCCCCAGATTGGAGAAGAGGAAGCCTAAACCCCGGGCCAACCAGAGGGGAAAGAGATTGTAGTTTATCTGACCAGCTTGCAGGAGAGCGATGCATCATGAATGGGGAGGGCCGCTTCTCAACCAGGACCGCTCAGATCCGAGCAGCTCCAGCCTCTACTAAAGCCTGAACCTCATACCAGGCTCCCAAAAACAGGCTATGGGGGAGTGGGGGAATGTGGCCACGTTGAATAAATCTCCTTTGTTTGTTTGTTTGTTTTTGTTTGTTTGTTTACTGTTAATTTGACTGTTTTAATTAGCTTATCTAGGACAGGTGGCTGTACCAGGCTTGTTGGGATGTTGGGGCACAGACTGTGACCCTAAGTCTAGTTAGACCTGGAGGCAGAACATTCAGGTATCATGCTTATGGAAATCAGTCTATCTGGGGCACTATGTCTGTGTGTCTGTGTGTCTGTGTGTCTGTGTATGTATTTATATCCCATCTGTACATACACACACACATACACACACACACATACACACACACACATACACACACATACACACATGTGTGCAAACTTATCTGCATGTACACATGCAAACAAACACATACATACGCAAACACTGCATACACACAAAAACAAAGATGAAGCATCTGATTCAAAATTAAACAAGCAAATTAATATTTACCTAAGCTGAGCAGCCAAGCCATAATAAACTGTGGATGTTTAAAAGCCAACGATTACCAACAGCAGTGTGGAACTGAGGCAAATCCCACTGCACCCTGATGTCTTCTGGCTTCATCCCCTAAGCTCTTTGGGCTATGTTCCCCACTTACCCCTACCACACCACCTCAACCTCCTCAGAAGAATAGAAAACAGGGCCAGGCTCTCCTCCAGACAGCACATCAGAATCAGTTTCTGTCAGCCACCCTTCCAAGTGTCTTTCACCTTCAGAATCTGTTGCAGATGACATCATGGGAACTTCAGCGCTGCTGTCAAGTTTGGGAAATGCTCTGTCAAGGATCTTTTATACGTGCACGGTGAGATCTGAGGGCACAGCAGGTTTTCTTCGCACTTTCTAATCCTCATTAATCTTATGAATCGACAGCTCATTAGCTGTAGCACTCGGGGTCCCGGAAGGGGCTTTGGAGACCCATGGCCGTCTAGCATAAGCTTCTTTAGGCTTTGGGAAAAAGCCACCTGCATCTGGAAGATTCTCACGGGATGGGGAGTTAGTCAGCACTAGGGCTGCTGCAGGGCAGCGAAGGGCAGGTTGTGGGAGTTGCAGGGAGGCTCTGGGCGATCACAGCAGGGAGACAAGATGGCAGATGGACAGGGACTGAGTGTCGCTTGCACAGACCTGGGAGAAGAAAGGGATCGATCCTGAGTGACTAAGGTCAGGCTTGCTGCCTTCTGGCTTTCTTTCTCCATGTTGTCTTTGGACTGAGGCCTGGGCACATGCCTTGCTTCTGCCTGCTTCCCCTCACACGAAGCTGAAGCCTCAACGTACCAGAAGCAGTCACCCACCCAGAGCTGACAATCATCACAGTATCTCCTACCTCAGCTTTCAGCCAGAGCAGAGCTGACAAGAACAGGCTGATCTCCCTGTGGGAACATCTTAGACAACCTGTCCTGGGAGTGGCACTTCCCACAGGGAGCTGGGCTCTTACACATCGACCATTATTTAAGATGATACCCCACAGAGCTGTCTACAGGCCAATCTTACAGAGGTGTTACTCAATGAAGATTCCATCCCCGCATCCCAGGTACATATAGGTTTGTGCTGGACAAAACCCAACCAGCTCAAGTGTGAAGGCTCTGACAGGAAGGTATCCTGCTGGGCCAAGAGGATCTCAAGAATAACACACACCCCTTAAAGGAAATCTGGCCCCTAAGCCAGGGCCATCTTCAAGGTGAACCCCTAAATATCCTTTGGGCTACAGGCTGGTATGCCGGATGTGCTGAGAATTCAAGAACAACATTCTACCTGAGGTCAGGAACACAGAGGACAAGTGGCCAAGGGTGAGGAAGGATAAGTCGGCTGAGGCTGGAAAAACATTCTGCACTGGAGAGAAATGCGCTGCCCAGGGCACCAGCTGGCCTGAAGGCTTGCTGCCCTCCTCAGAGAGCTGCTGCAGCAGCCATCCGCACCACCAGTCATCAGCACAGTCTACAGACAGCTGTACTGATGCTGAGGAATGACTGTGGGAACATAATATCCCAATGAGTTTGAAGTTAGTCCTGAGCCCCCAGATGAGCTCGAGGCTAGCCTTGAGCCCCAGAAATTCTTTCTGAAGACTCTCATCATTTAAAATGGCAAGCATAAAAATAACTTTATTTCTAGTAGTACTGACATTGGACTTGCTACTTATGCCCTGCATCTGCTTTGTCTAGATCCCTGCTCTGTGGTCTCCAGGCTTCCTGCCTTGAGTCTGTATCCCTAAGTCTGGTATCTTACACTATGTACTTTGGGAAGATCTGAGGGGGAAACAGAGAGTGTCGGCACCTGCATGTTAGAGTCAGTGGAGACAGAGATGGGGCAGGGGGTTGGATACAGCCAGGGATTGCTGGGCAAGGACAGGGAAGAAGGTTTGGAGAGGACTTGAGCCTCAAGGATGCTGGGGTGAGGGCTTGGCATGGAGGCCGATTGGGAGGTGGGGTGGGGCAGAAAATGGTTGACAAGAGGCTAAAGAGCGGGTGACAATGAGGTAACTTGACTTGTGTGGGGCAGACACCGGTCCTGCAACTCCTGACCAGCCTCTGCGTGTGTCTTCAGACCATACACAGCTGGACACAAGACTGTCCTCGTTCCCTTCCCTCTGCTGTAGCTTCTTCATGCCTCTGTGCTCCTAGGAAACTGTCCTTCTCTGTCACTCCCTAACCCTCCATCAGAATCCAGGTCCTGCAATTAGAAGTGACCCTTGGAGTCACCTGGCAATCAACACCTTCATGTTTCACTAAAGGGGGGTAGCTTGGTTGGTGGAGTGCACGTCTAGCATGCATGAGACCCTGGGTTCCACCCCCAGTGCTGAATAAACAAAACTGGGAGACATGGTGCACACCTGTGATCCCCAGGGGGATCAGAAGTTCAAGGTCATCTTGGGCTACCTATCCAGTTTGAGGTCAGCCTAGGACACAAAAGATCTCTCTGAAAAAAGTTCAATTAACTTAAATCCAGAAAAATGGTCACAATGTGGCCTCGGTCACATAACCAGAGAGAAACTGGGTAGGCAAGATGGTTGGTGTGTAGGCTCTAGTGCTTATGGTTGACTCCGCAGCTCAACAGGGCTGCTGAGTGTTTCAGACCAGGCCTTCAGACAGCAGCAGAGGCTCTGCCCATCATGGGTAGACCAGATTCCAGACCATCTCTTTGGATCAGATCTACCCATGAGCCCCTTGTTGAAAAGCAGAGGCCCGGCAAGGCACCACGCTCCAAGGAGCCCATGGAAGCATCAGGGAATGCAGGCCACACTGATCCGAAGCCTGTGCTGCAATCCCATCTGCTAACACTCTGTCGGTTCCAGCAAACCACAGGCCAAGTTT